TTAAAAAAGTTGGATTGGATGTTTTGATAAAGTTTTGCTAATGTTAAACCTGGTATCCATTTACTTCAATTAATTAATGATTAACCACATTATTGGATTCTCATGTGAGAATAAGAATTCAAGTTAACATCTTGGGAGAATTTGATAGACAGACATTGTTTTTAAGGGCAAAGCGTCTAAACAGGGACATACTTGTGAATATTTTAATATAGGATGGATCTCTTAATTAGGAGCCAAGAGATATTTTTTAACATGTTCTATGGCATTTCAGAGTGTGCTCTAAATAATATTTTAAAATGCATTTTAAAGAGAGGGCTAGCTGTAGGAGTTCTCACAATATCTCTTTCGTTTAATAACACACACAAACAATTATAAAATGTGACAACATTTATTTTTGTTAGTTAACATCTGATATTAAAAATCAATGATTTATGCTCAAAGACAGCACCTTTCAGGTTCTTTAAGCTAATATAAGAACCCATCAATGATTTATCGTTGTTTCCTCAGAACACATAATAATGACATGTACTTTCTAGATGTTATAGAGATAACCTTAAGGCAAAGAATTCTGAGGCAATGTTGCCAAATTACATTTAGCCCGTCATCATCAACAGCAAGGTTGCTGCAAACTGGACAAACTCTGGGAAAGAAACTTTTCCATCCTTGTCCCCATCCAGGCCGGTGAAGAATGCGTCTAACTGTTGTTTGTCTCCCTATAAAGATGAAGTCCACAGAAGTTTGTATTAGATTTTAAAACATAAACAGAGGCATACACAGATCTATATTACAATAGTGCTTCATCTTTTTTACTTACGCCCATTCCAGGAAACTCCTCGCGGAGCAAATCAGCAAGTTCTGCCTTGCTCATTGAACCTTTGTCTGCGTCTTTTCCAGCATACTTATCGAAGGTCTTCTTCAATACTTTCAGTTGTTCTTCAATCATGGCCATGTTTGCTGAAATGAAAAAAATACTGTTGACTGTGTAGTTCAGTGTTTATTTATAAATGGATTATTGGATGAACAACTTGTTAGGATCAAGATTCTTACTGCCCAACCATTTGTCTTATGAACATTACTGATTATTTTAAAACGGTGCGATAAAGTCTTGCTCATATGTTGCCTTCTCATCTTTTCTTTAAGGGGTAATTACTAAATGTTCCCTTGGTTTTAATGCATTGACACTTAAATCCTATACATAGCACTAATAAAACATAATGCTACACTATAGATATCAACTATTTAGACAATTCAAATGCACAATGGTTAATGATTCATGTCTAAATGGACTTACCAAATTCAATGAAAGCTTGAGTAGGTAGAGAGAATGGAAGAGTAGGATTTGTGAAGAGAACACGGACACCTTGGTTTATATAGAGAGGTTGACACACCCACTTTTCAAGCACCCACACCCTAGTTTTTTCGTTTTTCTTTATTTGTTCTCTCCGGAAAAGCTTACACAATGTCAGAGGGTGTATTCATAAAGCTTCCTGGTTTAAAGAGTTTTACCTTGTGACAAACCTATAAGAAAACTCTCAAAAGGATGATGTTTTATAATAACAGTTGCCCTTGCAGTTAAGCTGAGACCCTGCAGGTAAAAGTTATTTATAGAGTACCAGCCTTTGAGAGAGCTTCTAAGGTGAAAACTAGATGAGTCATTTTAAAAGAATAACAATGATCTTATTAAGAGGAGAAAAGGGCAATTACACAAAGAGGTAGGAGACATACTCTCCAAACTCTATGTAACAATGAGTAATGAAATAGATGAAATACCAACATTACCAGCATGGTTTATAATCCTAAACAAACCAGCAACTATCAGCATTAGAATAGGCCACTGTGTTTCCAACAAACTTGTAGGCTACATACTAACTATGGCTCACAATTTAACACAGGTGTTAATTACCTTACATAATATTCATTGATTGCATTCATTTATGTTTCACTATCTTGGCTGCAGTGAACTTTCCTTTTTGTTATTGCGTTGGTTATTTTTCTGTTTGTATGTGACACACTTTATAAATGTTGTTTTTTTCTTCAGGGCCAATATTGAATCTAAGTTTCAGAATAATATCCTTCGCTAGTCAAACTAGCACATTTGGCCTCGCAGGGTGCATCCCAGTACAAAGTAAATGACTACAAACCCTGACAGGCATGCAGGTATTGACAGGTACCTGCATGCCTGGTATCTGTCAGGGTTTTTCACAGCAAGGCTAAAGAGTTTATAAAACGACTAACTAAAGAATCTCTCTTTATATTCTAGTCTATTTTAGTTGATATATGCATTGATTGTTCTAATTATTGTTTTTTATGAAAGAAGCAAAACAGTAACATAAGTTAACATTCTCTGCATCGTTTTGCTTATTGTATTATTATCTTTCTGACATCTGCATTACTTGCAAATTGGTCCTGCTACAAAATCTGTAATATGTTTTGTTCTACTCTGTTTCTTATTGCACTATTTTTATTTAATTAAAAAATGTGATGTCCTATATCATGTTGCATTGTTGGAGGAGCTTGGGACTTAGGTTTTCCATTGCCATATCTACACTGTACTGTGCATACTGTATGACAATAAAGCCTTTGAATCTTTGAATTGAATGCATTTTTTGAAGAAGTTCTAGCCCACTACAATTCAGAGGTAAATATCGTACTTTTACACTTCACTACATTTATTTGATAACTTTAGTTACTTTGCAGATTCGGATTAATGATAATATATATATATATATATATCTATATATCACTTAAATGAGAATTTAGTTACACCTGGATAAAGTACACAAGCTACCCAGCAGTAAATACAGTAATTAAACATAGTTCCACCTTTACCAGCTGTGGTAATCATATTAATACATCAATAATTATAATCAGGTGTGCACATAACTTTTTGAGTGAGTTACTCAGATGAGTACCAGGAGACAGCGTTTGGTACTCACCCCACATGAAGCGTGGTGTTAATAAGCGCAGTCTTCCTCACTGTCCTCCTCAGTGTCTCCTTCACTGTCCTCTATTTACACTTCTTGCATGCTAGATGATGAAGATGAAGATGCACCTCCCTGTCTCTTTGTAAGCCTCCAATTTGCTTTTTCCAAAACTTGTTGCCAAAACTGTGAAGTCCTTGCATTTCCTGAGGCCAAGTTGAAGGATCAAATACTAAGAAATTATCACATGACTTGAAGTCATATCTGATTTCAGAGGTGGGAAGTAACAAAGTACACTTATTCAAGTACTGTACTTAGGTACAATTTAAGATACTTGTAGTTTACTTGAGTATTTCTATTTTATGCTACTTTGTACTTCTACTCCACTACAGTTCAGAGGTAAATCATGTACTTTTCTTCCACTACATTTATTTAATACCTTTAGTTACTTTACAGATGTGGATGAATGATGTGAAAATATAATCAAGTGTTAAATCAGACTTTAGTTCCACCTGGAGTAAATCCACAAGCTACCCTGCAGTATACAAAGTCATTCAAACTAATTTTTAAACACTTTAATGATCAATAATTATAAAACATATCATATACATTATTATGAAATGGACCAATCTGCAAAATGACTACTTTTACTGTCACTACTTTAACTAGATTTTGATAATACTTTTCTAATTTTACTTGAGTAACACTTCTTCCACCTCTGTCTGATTTCAAACTCTTCCATTAACAGCCTGAGTAAGTTTGCAGCTGTGTGTTTCACTCCACTTTGTTGTAAATAAAACTGCAGCAGCTTGACCACAGAGCGTGAACGTTGTGATCAGCTGATTTTGCGCAGTTCTCCAGTGTGTGCGCGGGGCACAGAATGTGCACAGGGGAGTCTCCCACCGCAGCCAGTTGACGTAGTTTTGGTACAATTCTGTTGTACACACCGACGTTAACAGCAGCTCCGTCTGTGCACACGGCGACCAACTCTGTCGTCCAGTGATCTAAGCCTCTGCCTCCTGTGAAGCTTCACAGGTCCGTCGGTTATGCCCTGCGCGGCACGGCCAGCACCCAGTTCAATCAGTCATAGAAAGTCTGAAGATTTTAGCAGGGAGCGAAACGGCAACGTGGCTGCTTAATGTCTTTGTTTTTTTTGGACATGTCTAATAATTTACTCCACAGTATTGACAAGAAACATGTGTAGGCGAAATATGTGTTTTGTTGACCTATCAGGTACGCAAAGGCGCGTTGTGACACAAGTGACGTTACGCATTTCAGATTGTTGCCGCGCATGCGTACCAGTTATGTGCACCCCTGATTATAATCATAACATATAGTGTTCTGAAACACGCCCGTACACGCCCACTCGCCCTCTCAGTTCAGCTGATCACCTGCTCCTGAATGTACCCAGGCCAGAACCAAGCTAAAACTCAAAGACCGTGCTTTCGCTGCTGCGGCTCTTAAACTGTGGAACGCTCTGCCCCTCCACATTAGACTTCTCCACTGTCCGCTTTTAAATCTTAAGTCTTAAAACCCACGTCTTCTCTTAGCGTTCTGCACTTTGCAGATTGTTGCTTTTAAATTGTATATATATATATATATATATATATATATTTTACTATATGGCTGATATTTGTATTCTTGTTTATTTGGTGTTCTTACTGTACCTTTATTTATTTTTTGTTTTGTGAGCTGCACTGTGTAATTTTGTATTTATCTGTACAGCACTTTGGTCTTGAGGTTTTAAAGTTTAAAAAAAGTTGAATTGGATGTTTTGATAACGTTTTGCTAATGTTAAACCTGGTATCCATTTACTTCAATTAATTAATGATTAACCACATTATTGGATTCTCATGTGAGAATAAGAATTCAAGTTAACATCTTGGGAGAATTTGATAGACAGACATTGTTTTTAAGGGCAAAGCGTCTAAACAGGGACATACTTGTGAATATTTTAATATAGGATGGATCTCTTAATTAGGAGCCAAGAGATATTTTTTAACATGTTCTATGGCATTTCAGAGTATGCTCTAAATAATATTTTTAAATGCATTTTAAAGAGAGGGCTAGCTGTAGGAGTTCTCACAATATCTCTTTCGTTTAATAACACACACAAACAATTATAAAATGTGACAACATTTATTTTTGTTAGTTAACATCTGATATTAAAAATCAATGATTTATGCTCAAAGACAGCACCTTTCAGGTTCTTTAAGCTAACATAAGAACCCATCAATGATTTATCGTTGTTTCCTCAGAACACATAATGACATGAACTTTATTCATCCAGCATTTCCTTGAGAATCATCATTAAGCATCCTACAAGCACGATATACTCATCGAAAGAAACTTTGCCATCCTCGTCCTCATCCAGGCCGGTGAAGAATGCGTCCAAGTCTTTTTTGTCCCCCTAAAGAGATAAAGTCCACAGAAGTTTTTATTAGATTTTAAAACATAATTTATTTTTAAAGGGGACTACACAGATCTATATTACAATAGTGCTTCATCTTTTTTACTTACGATCATTCCAGGAATCTCCGCGTGGAGCATATCAGAAAGTTCTTTCTTGCTTATTGTTTCTTTGTCTGCGTCTTGTCCAGCATACTTTTTGAAGTTCTTCATCAATAATGCCATGGCTCCCAGCATTTCTCCCATGTTTGCTGAAACGAAAAAATACTGTTGACTGCGTAGTTCAGTGTTTATTTATAAATGGATTCTTGGAGCGTGCTAGGATCAAGATTCTTACTGCCCAACCATCATTTGTCTTGTGAACATTACTGATTATTTTAAAACGGTGCGATAAAGTTTTGCTCATATGTTGCCTTCTCATCTTTTCTTTAAGGGGTAATTACTAAATGTTCCCTTGGTTTTAAACAACAGACATGATAAAGTAATGTGTGGGTGGAGCAACAAAAAAGCTCATTCGTGATTTGGTGTGGTTGGCAATTCTGCATCTTTCCAAAACAATTCAAGGCAACCAAACACATCTAGTCTGATTTCCAAACTCCCTGTACTTGTTGTTCCTCCTTCAATTCATCTCAGTTTCTCTTACCTTTTGCATGACTTTTCAAACAACTTTGCATTTTCAAATTGACAGAATTCCCACAAATGTGATGAATTTCACTATAATATGTAAATTACAGAATTGCTATAATCTTTCTATGCATTGACATTTAAATCCTATACATAGCACTAATAAAACATAATACATTATAGATATGAACTATTTAGACAATTCAAATGCACAATGGTTAATGATTCATGTCTAAATGGACTTACCAAATTCAATGAAAGCTTGAGTAGGTAGAGAGAATGGAAGAGTAGGATTTGTGAAGAGAACACGGACACCTTGGTTTATATAGAGAGGTTGTGTTACCTGCCGCAGTTGGTGCTTTTGTGTGTGTGTCTCACTCTCTCCCTGATTGTCTCCAGGTGCAGCCTCTCCTCCAGGTGCTCCCAATCCCCAATCAGGGCCTCCTTAAAGGACCTGAGGAAGGCTGCAGTGGCCTCTCTCCTTCTCCTCTGGCTGTATATGTGCAGCATGTCTCTGTCTCTGTGTGAGGCCTGTGTTTTTGTGAATTGTTAGATGTGCTCCAGTTTACCTTTTTGTGTATCGTTTAATTTAGTCACTTTCTTTTAGAAGGAAGTTGTTCTTAGTTACTTTAAGTTTGTTTTGCAAATTGGCTGGTGAGCCTCTTTTCTTTTTTATTAATTAAAGCATCACTTTGTGGCTTCAGCAGTCAGTTTCCTCTCCTTTTTCTCTCGCCCGGTTGTTTTTGTGTTTTGTTACTTCCCTTTGTACTCCTAGATTAGGAGGGAACGTGACAAATGGGGGCTGGTGAGTAGTTGCAAGTAAGCTGTACGTCTATGGTGGTGGTAGACTATAGTGTGAGTGTTGAAAATTAGTTTGTGTGTTTAGTATGGCCTCCCTTGTTTGAGTCCTCTCATACTAGTTCTAAATGTGATGCCTGGTTGAAAGTGAGGTTAGCTCGTCTACAGTGGGAGAAGGAGGAGCGTGAGCGAGATTTTCAGCTCAGGAGGGAGTTGGAGATCAGAAAGTTGGATGCAGACACAGCTTTCAGGATGCGTCAGCTAGAGCTGCAGACGGGTTCAGTGGGATCCTCTTCGGGTACACAACCATTGTCAGGTTCTGATGCTCCTTTTGATGTTGGTAACAACATTCAGCTGGTTCCAGTATTTCGTGAGTCTGAAGTTGAGTCATACTTTGTTGTGTTTGAGCGCATTGCTGCTGCTTCGCAATGGCCGAAAGATGTGTGGGCCATGCTGTTACAGTGCGAGTTAGTTGGTAAGGCTCAGATGGTTTGCTCTTCTCTTCCTGTTGAAGATAGTATTGTGTATACGAAAAAGTGAAATGCGCTATTAAAGTGCATGAGCTTGTGCCTGAGGCTTATAGACAGCGTTTTCGTGGCCTAAAGAAAACACCTGGCCAAACTTTTGTAGACTTTGCAATGGAGAAGAGCAAGCTATTCAACGGATGGCGTAAGGCATCAAAGGCTGACGACTTGACTTCAGTTTGTGATCTCATAGTGCTGGAGGAGTTTAAAAACGGTGTCCCAGAACATACTGTTCATTTAAATGAACGACAAATAACCTCCTTGCAGCAGGCTGCCACTATGGCGGATGAGCTTGTGTTAATGCACAGTGGTGTTTTGGCTCAGAGCAATCCCCATCGTGTTTCTTTCCGGAAAGCTCGTAACAGGCGTGCCACACATTCTCATTCTGTTTCTTTTCCAGGACCCAAGAAAAAGAGATTGTGTTTCTTTTGTCTTGACCCTGGTCATCTAGTGGCAGGGTGTGTAGCTCGGAAGAAGCAGGTGGCAGCCTCCAAGCGGTCTATGGAAAAACCAAAAGGCCGGCACCCAGTTGCAATGCGACAGAGTGGTGAGTAGCAGTTAAGTTCTGCGTCCGTTGACAGTGCTGTGGGTGTGGGTGTTCCCGTCTCTGAAGCGGTGGACCTGGCTCAGAGCGATGTGGATCTGTGGTCAGTGAGTGATGTGGGTATTCTGTGTGATGTGGTGTTGCTCCGGTGTTTGCTGCTTGTGAGCAGTATAACGTGTGTTTTATGGGGGGGTGTTACGTGCCGCAGTTGGTGCTTTTGTGTGTCTCTCTCCCTGATTGTCCCCAGGTGCTCCCAATCCCCCAGGTGCTCCCAATCCCCCAGGTGCTCCCAATCCCCCAGGTGCTCCCAATCCCCAATCAGGGCCTCCTTAAAGGACCTGAGGAAGGCTGCAGTGGCCTTTCTCCTTCTCCTCTGGCTGCATGTGTGCAGCATGTCTCTGTCTGTGTGAGGTCTGTGTTTTTGTGAATTGTTAGATGTGCTCCAGTTTACCTTTTTGTGTATTGTTTAATTTAGTCACTTTCTTTTAGAAGAAAGTTGTTTTTAGTTACTTTAAGTTTGTTTTGCAAATTGGCTGGTGAGCCTCTTTTATTTTTTATTAATTAATGAGTTTCCTCTTTTTCTCTCGCCCGGTTGTTTTTGTGTTTTGTTACTTCCCTTTGTACCCCTAGTTTAGGAGGGAACGTAACAGGTTGACACACCCACTTTTCAAGCACCCACGTCCTGGTTTTTTCATTTTTCTTTATTTCTTCTCTCCGGAAAAGCTTACACAATGTCAGAGGGTGTATTCATAAAGCTTCCTGGTAGAAAGAGTTTTACCTTGTGACAAACCTATAAGAAAACTCTCAAAAGGATGATGTTTTATAATAACAGTTGCTCTTGCAGTTAAGCTGAGACCCTGCAGGTAAAAGTTATTTAGAGTACCAGCCTTTGAGAGAGCTTCTAAGGCGAAAACTAGATGAGTCATTTTAAAAGAATAACAATGATCTTATTAAGAGGAGAAAAGGGCAATTACACAAAGAGGTAGGAGACATATTCTCCAAACTCTATGTAACAATGAGTAATGAAATAGATGAAATACCAAAATAACCAGCATGGTTTATAATCCTAAACAAACCAGCAACTATCAGCATTAGAATAGGCCACTGTGTTTCCAACAAACTTGTAGGCATACTAACTATGGCTCACAATTTATTTAACACAGGTGTTAATTACCTTACATAATATTCATAATTACACCAAGTCTGAATAGGGACACAAATGCTATTACCTCAGTGTACTCTTTTGAAACACTTTCAAAAATGTATTTTAATAACATTTCTATTATGGTTATTTTTCTGTTTGTATGTGACACACTTTATAAACGTTGTTTTTTTCTTCAGGGCTAATATCGAATTTAAGTTTCAGAATAATATCCTTCGCTAGTCAAACTAACACATTTGGCCTCGCAGGGTGCATCCCAGTACAAAGTAAATGACTAACCCTGACAGGCATGCAGGTATTGACAGGTACCTGCATGCCTGGTAGGGTTTTTCACAGCAAGGCTAAAGAGTTTATAAAACAACTAAGGAATCTCTCTTTATATTCTAGTCTATTTTAGTTGATATATGCATTGATTGTTCTAATAATTGTTTTTATGAAAGAAGCAAAACAGGAGTAACATAAGTTAACATTCTCTGCATCATTTTGCTTATTGTATTATTTTTCTGACATCTGCATTACTTGCAAATTGGTCCTGCTACAAAATCTGTAATATGTTTTGTTCTACTCTGTTTCTTATTGCACTATTTTTATTTAATTAAATGTGATGTCCTATATCATGTTGCATTGTTGGAGGAGCTTGGGACTTAGGTTTTCCATTGCCATATCTACACTGTACTGTGCATACTGTATGACAATAAAGCCTTTGAATCTTTGAATTGAATGCATTTTTTGAAGAAGTTCTAGCCCACTACAATTCAGAGGTAAATATCGTACTTTTACACTTCACTACATTTATTTGATAACTTTAGTTACTTTGCAGATTCGGATTAATGATAATATATATATATATATATATATATATATATATATATCACTTAAATGAGAATTTAGTTACACCTGGATAAAGTACACAAGCTACCCAGCAGTAAATACAGTAATTAAACATAGTTCCACCTTTACCAGCTGTGGTAATCATATTAATACATCAATAATTATAATCATAACATATAGTATTCTGAAACACGCCCGTACACGCCCACTCGCCCTCTCAGGTCAGCTGATCACCTGCTCCTGAATGTACCCAGGCCAGAACCAAGCTAAAGCTCAAAGACCGTGCTTTCGCTGCTGCGGCTCTTAAACTGTGGAACGCTCTGCCCCTCCACATCAGACTTCTCCACTGTCCGCTTTTAAATCTTAAGTCTTAAAACCCACCTCTTCTCTTAGCGTTCTGCACTTTGCAGATTGTTGCTTTAAAATTGTATATATTTTTTACTATATGGCTGATATTTGTATTGTTTATTTGGTGTTCTTACTGTACCTTTATTTATTTTTAGTTTTGTGAGCTGCACTGTGTAATTTTGTATTTATCTGTACAGCACTTTGGTCTTGAGGTTTTAAAGTTTAAAAAAGTTGGATTGGATGTTTTGATAAAGTTTTGCTAATGTTAAACCTGGTATCCATTTACTTCAATTAATTAATGATTAACCACATTATTGGATTCTCATGTAAGAATAAGAATTCAAGTTAACATCTTGGGAGAATTTGATAGACAGACATTGTTTTTAAGGGCAAAGCGTCTAAACAGGGACATACTTGTGAATATTTTAATATAGGATGGATCTCTTAATTAGGAGCCAAGAGATATTTTTTAATATGTTCTATGGCATTTCAGAGTGTGCTCTAAATAATATTTTTAAATGCATTTTAAAGAGAGGGCTGGCTGTAGGAGTTCTCACAATATCTCTTTCGTTTAATAACACACACACACAGTTATAAAATGTGACAACATTTATTTTTGTTAGTTAACATCTGATATTAAAAATCAATGATTTATGCTCAAAGACAGCACCTTTCAGGTTCTTTAAGCTAACATAAGAACCCATCAATGATTTATCGTTGTTTCCTCAGAACACATAATGACATGAACTTTATTCATCCAGCATTTCCTTGAGAATCATCATTAAGGATCCTACAAGCACAATATACTCTTCGAAAGAAACAGTGCCATCCTTGTCCCCATCGAGGCCGGCGAAGAATGCGTCTAACTGTTTTTTGTCCCCCTAAAGAGATAAAGTCCACAGAAGTTTTTATTAGATTTTAAAACATAATTTTTTTTTAAAGGGGACTACACAGATCTATATTACAATAGTGCTTCATCTTTTTTACTTACGACCATTCCAGGAATCTCCGCGTTGAGCATATCAGAAAGTTCTTTCTTGCTTATTGTTTCTTTGTCTGCGTCTTGTCCAGCATACTTTTTGAAGTTCTTCATCAATAATGCCATGGCTGCAATCATTTCTCCCATGTTTGCTGAAACGAAAAAAT